GAAGACTTGGATGGAAAGCCTTTGGAACCATCAGGGAGCAGTTCAACGGCTAGGTTGTAAGTTTGTCCCTGCACGAGTAATCTCATTGGGAGTTATTTGGTGCACCTCCTAAGTCAAGCTACGTCAATGACCTGACACTGGAGGACATACAAAACATTTGATTTTCCCAAGGACGCGGGTGAGCTAATCAAGACTCAATGATGCTTTAATCTTTGACGCGTCAGTCCTGGGGTCTTTCCTTGCGGTTAATACTGTCCGTGTTGATGTTAAGTGACCAAGGCCTTCCTTCAGACCTTGACGTCCGCTATGGAGAGCAAAGTCGCATGCCGATGCTGATCCGCCTTATAATAACGGAGATATCTCCTAGCTGAGCGGCAATGCCATAGCGGCAGACCGAGTGACGCCCTGTCCTGCATGTTCAGAATCCTACAGCGGAACTCGGTTGAATACAGCCACGTTGTCCATGGTGGTCCGACACGCAGAATCGCACTTCGTTCTGGGATAGAAATGGTGATGACGATGTAGGGTTCGTGCCTGGCCCTGCCTTAAGACAAGAGGTTGATCTCGCAACAACTTGGAGAGTAGCCTCGATGTTTCGATCTTGAGCTGCGAGGATGTCGCGGCGGCGTTCAAAGCAATGTCGTCATGCTGCAGCTCACGAATGAGGCATTCTGAGATTCGTAGTTACAGGCTCCATGGTAGAGTCGGACTCGTTGAGTGATGTGGATGGCACAGTTGGTCTTTATTCCGACCGCAATTACGGACCCAGACTGGACCGAATGCCCAACCCCGGAACTCATCCTCTCCTCAACAGACGCTTCAATAAGAGCGATACCACGGATTCACTGTTCATTAGTCACTAGACTTGCATCGAAGGCAATCGCATGAGCCACATAAATGCCGATCTATACAGTTGCATAGTTCCGGGCAGAACCTAGAGAGTTCCGCTCTGCAGCACCCTGACTGCTGCAATGACGTGAGTGAGACTACTCTACTCTGTCTCTGTGACCAGTCTTGTGGGCCGTCTGCCATCTCTGTCGGCAAGACGAGGGCAGACGAGCCGCTCCGAGCAGTGCTCGCCCGACAGCATCCACCGCCAGCGAAAGGCTTTTCGAAAGGTCATATTCAGCGTTCTAGTTTGGCTTTTTACGACTCCTGCATTGTTGTAGATGTGTCTAGGCGTGAGTCTTGGATAGACCGACACTCTGGGAAAGAAACAGGTGCATTGTGGGATGAGTAGGGAAGCAAGGAACAGCCAGTGGCTATTGCAAGAAGCCACGGAAAAAGTAAGCAGACATGTACTAGCGGACAGTTTTGGCTGGCTTTCCGGGGACGGACATCGAGGCTGCAAGTGTCAGAGTACCGTCACCAAGAAGAGTATCGTGGGCCGCAACACCGGTATCATAGATGACGGCTTGTCTGTGAGTGGCGTTGCCAAGATTTGGTCAGTATCTACGAATAGGGAGTCCACGAGACCAAAGACGACATTATCGAGAATGGCAAGGTCAAGGAAGACAGCATCAAGATCGAAGATGACACTGTCAGGTGTTACGACCCGTAAACAAGGATAACAGCTGAACGACCCACTCGGGCGTCGGGCGGCTAGGACAGGACATTTGTACTGCAGGGTCACGGGAACAACAGGAACTCACTCGGAGACGGAAGAACTATGGTACAAGTCACGTGATGATAAGATAAGACTGAGCAGGCAGTGTGGATCACTGAGCGCTCAGTCGAAGTTACTGAGCACTCACCAACAGTCAATGAGCGCTCACTGGTACCTGGTGAGGGATCAGTGATAGAGTAAAGGGTACTGTTCAGAACTTGTATATAGTATGACCCTGAGCCTGGCTCATGGTCAGACTTCCATAGCTCTTCATCAATCAACTTAGTATTCATCCTCACGGATACTCTCAGCTTACCTTCACTGCGAATCACTTATTGAGTCTAAGACTGATCACCTTGGCCTCTGAAGAACCGATCTACTACAGCCTACGAACTACGACCTACGACCACGACCCAGTGTACTGTTAGAACGTATCAATCCCCAGCTTCTGTTAGCAGACCCTACTGTCGGATAGCTGACCGTAACATCAGGGACCGTGTTCTCAAGATTAAGCCACCAGCTGGGACGGTGTCCCAGCTGACGCCTGTTCTCAGGGACTTTCTCATGGTCTCACCGCCATGTGCGACATAGCATTACCGCCCTTCCAACCTATCATCCAGGCTAAGCACGTGATGGCGTCGGGTTCAGATTACTGCGCTGACGAGAACGGCTAAAGTATCTATTTCGCCGTCTGGCCTTGCTGAGCATCGGAAGATCCTGACGATGTTGAGCAGGTGAGCTCGTAGGTATTCAGCAGACGCGCGATCAACCATGTTTTGCACCTTCAGTCAATTCGCTAAACACAATACTATTTCCCACCAGCGGGAACGCATTGTCAAGAATGTAAATCACGACTATTTCGGCGTTGGCGACCCAAATACCGGTCAAACCCAGCCCATCATCAGGTATCGCATGTGCAGACTTGCTCTTGCTTCGAATACACCGCTAGGGCGCCGGGTCACATCTAGTCCACCTATGCCCGTCAATCGCCGTCCCCTCATCGTTTTTGTGCTTCCATTTCAAGATTGGACAGTGATCTCATGCACTTCGAAACCCTTATCTGAGATTTGAAACTCATCGCAGCCTGTGCACCAGTTGTTATACCTCGCGCACCAGATCTGCGACTGGCCGAAAGAAATCTGGTCGGTCAATGTGTGTCATCGCCGCAGTCATGCAGCGACCTATTCGTGCAGCATAGACACTACCAATGTTTCGTATGCTGCCAGAGAGAGCTGTGCCTTGATGCCATCTGGAAAACAGAATTGAGGCTGGTAGCTGGTCTTGGTGTTCCTCCATGGACCTCCGGTGTGATCCCGTCGGGACGCGAAGAACATCCTCGCCGTTCGTGCTGCGCATGAACCAACAGCATCGTATTTGCCAGTAAGCCCTTGTCGACGTGCCTACCTATGTTGTCCTTTGGGACTGGCCTCGAACAAATAGCACTGGAAATCAAATTGTATGTACTGCAGTTCATTGATGCGCGTCCGATTATGGAGATGCCATCATAAAAGCTCAGCCCGCAGGGTCATTGATCAACCATCTTCGATCTGTGGAATGTAGATTTGTGGTTCACATTTGGCTAGATCGATGCTGCGTTTGACGTTAAATGTGGATGGCGGTAGCAAGTCCGGTCCCGTGAAGACGTCCGAATAGTTTCTAGGGGTCTTCAGTCAGCCAGACAATGAGCATTGTGCAACATGTGGGCAGAGTAACCCACGAATCGGCTTGTGTGAAGCAATGTACGGTAGTCTGAGTACTTTCAACTACGGTTCAAGACCTAGAAACTCAAGCACCTACACTCTGGTCGACGAAAACATTGATCGGTGCAACCTCCAGCAATGTGCAAGCACCCCGCACAAAATAGCACATCCTTTCGGACGATCCGTTTTTGTTCTTCCCATTTTGTTCAGTTGCTTGGACGTAGCTATCGACTTCGATGAAGATTTGCACCTGTTGTTCTCTCCCTCGGACGTCCGGTTGCGTCGCTGGGTTTTGATGCGATGTTGAACTCGAAAGACCGGTCGAATGACGCCCTAACAGAGGTACATGACGATACCAGAGCAGGCAATGTCTCTAAAGACGGCAGTAGGATAGAACATAACAGTGGCACCAGAGATGGCGGCCTTGGGTTGAAAAGCGGTAATTGTGGTGATACCAAGATCTCGGGCCATCGCGAGGGCCCATCTTGAAAGGCATACGCTCTTAAGCCACGGTCGAGGCTTGCTGGGGCTGTGGGCTGGCTTGCGTAGATATCTGTAGTTTCGATAGCAGTGGACAAATATCTTTCTTGGTGTGGATTGGGCTGGTGTTTGCCGACATTATTATAATTAAATGACGGACTAGTGTCTTGAGCCGTAAAAAGAAAAGCATTCCTTGGTGGGGCCATCCTCGGATGTGAGGAAGTATTCGAGTGCCTCGACGGCATTGCTTTCAGACCTTTCATATTCTTCATATGAGTGATCACGGCAATCAGAGAGCCCATTTTAGTCTTGATCGGCGTGGCCTGGAGCTTAGGAGGTTACATGGCTTGTTGAGGTGTACCAGAGGCAGACTCAGAGAGGGACATGGCCATAAAATCATAGTCTATATCGTCTGGATGCTCTTTGGTATCGAGAAGAGGGGCGGAGTTGCTTCTGTGGCTAACAGGGCTTTGATCCAGACGAATGCATCAACTGACGCAAAGCTCAAGAAATCAGCACTGCTGTAGCGAGGAGTGAGAGATAATGATTCAAAATCACGGGAAAGATGGCACGTACATGATTCAACTGCTCACAGCTTTTGCCACAGACTTGCAGTGGCGGTTCCCTTGTCTTCTCCTTGTGCTAGGCCGTAATTGTGTTGAGGGTCTCCGAAATAACCTTGCGACGGTGGTTCATCTCAGGTTGAACTCCTGGTTCGGTAGTAAAAGATAGAGAAGGTGACTGGCTAGCATGATAGCGGCGATGCTTGCCACATCTTTGCTTTTGTCTCTGCTAGAAGTCGACGCTACTTATACAACGGCGGAAATTGCGGAAGTTGTTGCTGTGGGGTGGTGATTTGAGGTCAGGCAGATCAAGCGGTTAGGTACGTACAAGCCGTTTCTGAATTTCACTATATCAGGAGGCAATCGCAACACCAAGGGACGCGCTCACTGTCACGTTGATGGTTCCAGTACCTAGGGACCTCAAGAAGCACTAAGCTGCGCTAGCTGAAATGCCGTGCGACATTCTGATTAATCACCCGCATGTCTCAGCTCCAGATCGATCACTCTTGTCCTACGTGGCCAATGGCTTTGGCAAAACTTCCCTCTCGCCTAAATTTTCTTGGCATCCACTGTTAGTGTAATACGTGGGATACCACCAAAGTTCTTAACAGCGGAAAACCCTTCAATTCTCGCCTCCAGCGCCCTCCCGCGATGGCCTCGCAGCCTCTGGCGGGCTCTGGACCGATGCCGGCCTCCTCGACCGGCCCTGATCGAGGCTCTGGAGCCCCTCCGGAGCCGTCCCCAACCTCAAGGGCTAAACGCCGCTGCGATACCGAGGCCCAGCTAGCCTGGCTCAGCCTCGTGGGAAGCCAGCCTGACGCCTCTACGACAACCCCCTTAACGGCTAAGGGGCCCTCAACTGTGAATAGGACAGCTGCTGGAGCTGTCCTTACAGCCCTTAGTGAAGAGGCCAAGCTCTACGAAGCCCGAAAGGATATCTTTATGGCTATCGCCCAGTCTGTAGACAACGTGGTCTCTTGCTTTGAGGGGCCTAGGAAGCAGATCGCAAAGGAGGCTACAACCTACGTAGTTAAAGCCTTGAAAAGGACCATGGGGAATGGAACGGCGGCCCCGACCCTAAGCTGGAATTGGGCTAAGGTGGTAGCTTCGGCTGAATCTGCAGCTGCAGCCCCAGCCTAAGCCCCAGCCCCAGCCCTGGCCCGCACCTAAAACCCAATCTATCCCCAGGCTCAGACTCAGACTCTAGCCCAGCTAAAGAAGGACCTCCGGGTCTTTGCCTGCATCCCCGAGGAGGGCCTAACGGCTGCTAGGAAGCACGCCCCTTTTGCCCTCCGCTGGAAGGTCTGCCAGGCCCTTGGCCTGCAGCTAGCAGATATCCCACATATCTACCATATTGCAACTAGCTACTCACTGAGACCCCTGAATAAGCAGGTTCAGCAAGCCCTCCTTACGGACAAACAGAAACTAGCAGATAGTCTTAGAGCCTATAGGGTTGAGACCCCTACTAAGTGGTTCACCTATGTTGTCCCACGCTGCCCTGCTAAGCTATAGACTATCGATAGGGATGCCCTCAACCCAGCTACTCTAGTTGAAGAGGAGGTCTTTGCACAGACAGGATGCAAGCCTATCTAGGCCTGCTAATCCCAACTTAGCGCGAATCCTATCACAAACGAAGTCTCTTAGATCATCTCCTTCTCTGCAGAAGTATTACCCTTCAGACTCTTCAACCAAAGCAGCAGGTCTCAGCTTATCCAGAAGAAAAAGACTATCGCCTGATATAACCCTGGTTGCTAGGGATATCACTCAAACTAATATTGTAACCGGCAGCCACTTTGTGGCAACTGCAGCAGACCCTCAGGCTCCCATAAGACTTAGCCCTGCATAGCCAGACTGAAGTGCGCAAACTGCGCCAGCCCCTTCCAAGCTAACCACAAAGGCTGCCCGGCAAGGCCCCTAGTGGTTAACAGCTCTCCTACCCTCCCAGGTCGGAAGGAACTCTCTCAGATCTGTAAGGCTGGACAGAAGGCTTATGAGGCCCTCTATCAGAACAGCCAGGCTAGCACTTAAGCTACTGATAACCACCAGCAGTCCAGCGGAGACCTAACACGCCACCAGCCTGGCTCAAAGCGACCACGCGCCCCTACCTCTGCCTAGGATTTAATTACCGTAGCAGACGCTAGCGATACAGCAAGCTCTAGTAGTATAGATGAGGATGAGAATAAGGCTGAGGCAGACGTCTATATCAATAATAACCCTGACCTACCACTACTACCTACCCAGCATACCCCTACTAGGCTAAGCAGCAGGGCCCAGAGGGTAGCTCAGAAGCCTGATTATAATGTGACTAATGCCTACACACACCTCAACCTCAACTCAGAGCAGTAGGCTCAGAATAGCTACCCCATAGGTATTACAGGTCGCCCAGTGTAACGTGGGGAAGAGAAGCCCAGCTTATACAGCTCTTCTAGAGCTCTGCTGGGCAGATCAGATCGACATAGTCCTGATCTAAGAACCCTGGATAGGCTATAGAGATAAGATGCAGATTAACACACACCCAGGCTTTAACTCCTACGTACCAGTTGACTTCTGGAACAGCAGAGACATAAGGCCTAGGGTTATAACCTACACATGCAAAGGTCTAAGGCTGCAAATACAGCACTAAAGGTCTACCTAATCAAGAGATATCTTATAGGTGAAAGTTAGCAACCTCACTATTATGAATATATATAGGCCGCCAGATAAGCCTATAAACCAAGCAACCAGCCTCCTTCTAGATTACTAACCGCCAGAGAGAGCCCTTATTGCTGGGGACCTTAACGCCCACCACTCCTCATGGGAACCTGGGTCCCTTAGCTGAAATCGAGGAGATAATATTGCAGAATAGGCGGAAGGCTACAATCTTCTGTTTATTAGGGAGGTTGGGGCCCCTACCTATACCTACAGGTATACCCTCGACCTAACCCTCTTAAATATCCCCTTTACTGAGGCTTATATCAGCCTACACCTACACCTAGGGGCTGACCATGAAGCTATCACAACAATTATTCCTATGAGTAGGGCCTAGGAACAGGGACGCCAGGCTAACCAGCTCTCAGTACCAGAGTCAGCCCTACCACGGCTGATCGACCTAGTAAAGGCTGGGGCTACAGCCTTACCTACTCTAGGGGAACTGCCCAGCCCAGCAGAGCTAGACACCCTAGCTGCCCAACTGGTCAGCCTCTTCTATACAGCTATTCAAGCTGTAGGCAAGAGACGGACTAATCAGGGTAGGGGAGCCCCCTGGTGGACAGAAGAATGCTTAGTAGCCCACCAAGCTGCTATTAAGGCTAGGCGCCAACAGGCCCAAGAACCTGGGCTGGTCATACCTCCCCCTATCCTAGAGGAACAAAAGGTCTTCTTAACAACCATTAGAAGGGCAAAACGCGCCTACTGGACTACTAAGGTTGAAGAGGCTAAGACAGACTAAGATCTATATAAGATCATAGGCTGGCGGAAGTCAAGCCTAGCAGTTAAAGCTCCGCCTCTAATAGTAGAAGGAGAGACGATCAGCAACACCTACGACAAAGCCTAAGCCTTACGAAAGGCCTTACTCGAACGGTTTATCGCTAGAGATGACCTACCTAGGAACCCTTTTGCTATCCTAGTGGTCATAAGGCGTCTTATACCCTGGCAGGATACAGTTAGTATAGAGGAAGTACGCCAGGCTACTCTAACAAAGACTATAACCCCTAGGACTGATAGGATTACTACAAAGTTACTATAATGCACCTAGGGTTTAGTAGCTAGGCCTATACAGCAGCTCTTCCAGGCCTGCGTATAGGTAGGCTACTTCCCTAGACCCTTCCGCAAAGCGGAGGTTGTTATAATCCAGAAACCAGGGAAAACAGACTTCTCTAAGACTGGGTCCTAGCGCCTGATATCTCTATTATCCTGCTTAGGCAAAGGCTTAGAACGGTTAATAGCAAAAGGGATGGCCTACCTTACCATCCTAGAAGGGGTCGCCAGCCTACAGCAGGTTGGAGCCTTACCAGGGAGGGCTGCAGTCAACCTGACAACCTGTCTAACCCATGAGATTGAGAGGGCTCTAGATATAGGGCTTACTGCGACGCTAGCAATAATAGACGTCAAGGGGGCGTTTGATTCCATCCTATAAAACCAACTTATTATCAGGCTACAGCAGCAGGGCTGGCTAAGCAGCCTGATCAAGCTGATCTACACCTTCACCTCTAGCTGAACAGCCTAGGTCAGGCTAGAGGATACTACTACAGAGGACTTCCCTCTATCCTGTGGACTACTATAAGGCTCTCTGCTATCACCTATCCTCTTCCTGCTCTATATAGCTGATATCCTAGCTGATAATCAGAAGCTACGGTTTAGCTATACAGATGATATAGGCTTAGTAGCTACTAGCCCCTCGCTAGAAGAGAACGCTACAGCCCTAGGCTAGGAGATCACCAGTATCCTCAGCTGGGGAACAGAAAATAAGGTCGCCTTTAACCCAGCTAAGTGTGAGGCAATCCACTTCAGCAGAAAATATAAACAGATAACAAACCTACCTGATATCTAAGCGAGAGGCCTGACTATTAAAGCCTCAACAAAGCCTATAAGATAGTTAGGGGTCTGGTTTGACAAGAGACTCACCTTCTAACACTATATAGGAATAAAGGTAGCAGCAGCAAAGAAGGTAGCCTATTTCCTACAGCACCTTACAAACACAAAAGGGGGGCTCCCAGCAGCTGCAGTCCGAAAAGCAGCTATTGCTTGCGCCCTCCCGATAGCCTTATATGGAGCGGAAACCTGGTATGCAGGCCTGACTAAGCCAGCTCTAAGCAGCAACAACAGTACTAGTAGCAGTACTGCTTCACAGATAGCTACAGTTGGCATAGGGCAGAAGGGTCTAGCCTGTAGAGTCGGAAGAGTTATTACAGCAGCAGCAAGGGCTATCCTACCTATCTAGAGGACCACACCAACCAGTGCCCTCATCTGAGATGCTGGCCTACCTACAGCAGAGGTAGCTCTCGAGGCAGCGCGACTACGCTTCGCTACACGCCTACAGAAGGTTGACTAACAACATCCCTTGGTCCCAAGGCTTCTACAGCCAGGGCGGCAGCAGACCAGGCTCCAAAGGACAGCTGGCCTCTTACCTAAGTGCCTAAGGCCAGCACTTCTACAGCCGCAATACCTCTTAGGGTCCTATAACCTTATAGTTACACAGACGAAGGAAGTAGCAGCTAGGATCTTCCAGGCCTAGCTTAAGACGGTGCCAAAAGAGCATACTATTATCTACTCAGATGGCTCTAAAGCCCCTGATAGCGCTATAGGATTTAGCTTTATCATCTACCGTAAGAATAAACGCATAGCCTAGGGCTGCAGACGCCTCAGCATAGCAGAAGTTTTGATGGCGAGGCTGAAGGGGCGAGGGCAGGGCTCCGACAGGCCCTCCTTACCTCCTAGGGCCAGCCTATATATATCTGTATCGATAATACCAGCGTTATCCAGGGGATCTGAGGTATGGCCCCAGACTCCTCACAAGCTGCCTTCCTTGAGATCCAAGAGGCAGTTAGGATATATAATATATAAACCTACTGGTCCCCAGGGCACCAGGGCATCAAAGGAAACAAGGAAGCAGATATCCTAGCTAAAGAGGGCATAACCCTGCCAGCCCCTAGGGTCCAACTAGCTACCCTATCAGGGATCAAACGGCTTGCTAGAGAGCGTATATACCGCCAGCATAGAAGATAGTGGAAGCAAGAGGCAACGTCCTGCCACACCCAACTAGGGCTAAAGGCTTCCCTCGCCTGCCCTCCTGAACTGACCCTGCCACGGGCGATCCTTCACCATCTCCTGGCAGCCCGTTCAGGGCATAGAGACTTCAAGTAATATCACCAACGCTTCAACCATATAGAAGCACTACTTAACTGCTCCTGCGGGGAGGCAAAGGCAGTAGACCACCTAGTCTACTGCCGAAAGACCTTAGTGAGGCGGCTTCAGCGGCCCACCCTCCACCCTTCTAGTTCACAGGAGCCTATAGGGCCTATAGGATCTCTTGAGCAGTACTATAAGGGGCTAATTACTGATCATAAAGGCTTCCAGGCCTTTCTCTCTGTGACAGACTTCTTCCAGAAGATCTGCCCGCGGTACTAGGGACTAGGTCTTGACCTAGACCTTAGTAACAACCCCCTCCTCGTAGAGGATCAGAAGACCATAATAGAACTAGGGAACCAGCGGGAACTAGGGACGAATAGAACATATAGTAGCCCACGGGCAAGATTTGGAGGACGTTAGGAAGAGGCGTGTACTGTAGAGTATATAGCTTGAGCCGGCGACCCTCCACGCCATATACCCCTCGGGAGGTCGGCCGCAAGGGCGGCTGCGCCCTTGCCGCCACGGCGTTAAATATAACAACAACAACAACAACAACAACAATGGCTTTGGCTGATCAGTAGGCATTAGCGGCGAACCTGCTGTGAGTGAAGGTGGAGCTGCCCTGAGCATAGTGCAGGCCTAGCGAGCACCCTACTTACACGCTGGCTCATAGCCCAGTGAGCGAT